CCTCTATTCTCGCAGATGATTTCTGAAATTCTCTTATTTATGGCTTTTACTCGATCCACACGCTCAGTGGAAATGCGTGACTTTTGTCTGAGCAGAGACTTAACAAGTGCCGTCATCCACATCGGATCACGTGACGACATAGTCACCGTTCTCATCGGCATCCACTTCTCCAGGTGACTCAAAATAATCCGTTCCATGCGACTAACAGCCTGATCTACACCCAGAGACTGATAAACCTCACTCCAGTCTTCCTCCGCTAGTGCTTTATACAAATCCTGTTTACGGTGCTCTCTCTGATCACGGATCTTGACTTTCCACCGAACTGGACGAAGCTTTGTTCCTGCTGGTAACACCACGCCGGTATGATCGCTTTTAGTTAACCTGGTGAAAGGACGACACCTTCCGAATAGCTCTGCACGATTAGATAAACAATTATCTAATCTAGACTCTCCACGCGTGGGAAAATCTACCAAGGCATTCCATCCAGTCAACTGTTCAACCTGTTTGATGTTTAGTTGATTTAAATCCCCGCCGCACACAACAACAGTTCCGGGATGAGAGTCCATTGTTTGATCCACAAAAGACAGTAGATGGTTCATTAAATCACCTTCATTGTGAATGTGCTTTGGAGGATTGTAAACACCGCAGACTAAAAAGCGATGTCCCGTGGGAAGAAGCAAAGTTACGCATATGACTTCATAATCAGTTGAGCGGTAAACATCAAGCACTGTCAGAGTTTTCCTGATATAAATCGCAACACCGCCTTTATTCCGCATATCCTTTCCCGACCAATTCCTGTCCCTGCGAAAGACTGCATAATCGGCGATGTTAACCACCGCATCGGGTTGTGCCGGTTTTAAATGAGTTTCGGACACGACGCACACATCAATATCATTGTTCCGCATATCTGCCTCCAAGGCTACAGGAGCTCGTACTCTATTTTTGGTCTTCGACAGACTGCATATGTTTACAAACATGCAGTTAGGTACTGCAAAAAGCGAAGGGCTGTTCTTCCTCTTTACTGGCGCTCTGTGTAATGCAGTGAGACATCTCTTAGCGTTTAGTTCTCTAACGGGACAGGACTTCACCGGGCGACGAGATTTCACAACCTCTATGGCTTGACCATCCCTTGCTCTCTTGTTAGGATTCAAAAAGGCGTCTGCTGCTCTGTTTTTAACCCTGCTTCGCCCTCTGTACCTTAAAATTCCCAGCTGTTTCAGAGTATTCAGCACGGGAGCTTGAGATTTCCACGCGAACCTTCGTAGAGACAATAAATCGTTTCGACTCCGGAACAAGATCGTATCTGCTCCTCCGTTACTGCCGTTACTGCTGTCCCTATGAGCGGTGGTTAAGTCTACTCCATCCACAAGCCGGTTCTCTTGTTGTCCATCTTGGGGTCCGGGATTAGGGTGAATGTCAGGCATAGTAAGCAGCGTACTAAGCAGCACAGAATCTTGAGGTGCCGCTAAATAAACCAAGCCTCTTGAATCCCAACGAACCACACACCTTTTAAGTCGATGGTTGAGGACAAAACTGTGTGAAATCGCAGGCTTTGCAGTCCAGCAGTTGGAGTAACATGTAAGATTTCCGTTAAGAGCATTTTGTCGATCCTTAAAAGCTAATACATTGATAGAAATGATAAAAAATACAAGAGCTCTCACGAGCGTTGCAGCCATCTTGGCATGCATACATTTTTGACTGTGTTTCCGCTGTTTTCTTTTTAGGCATAAGCCTTATGCGATAGATATGGCCGTGGGAAGTATTGTAAAAACTAAAAGCTAAAACAAATGACTGAGAACTCCAACTTTCAAAGAACGATTGCTTGAGAGGAATTTTTCTCTAACCCTCCATGGCCACATTTACAAGTTAGTAAATAAATAAATAGCCTAAGAAGTGTTTGAAATTAAAAAACCCTCATACCCTTGGATTAGAAGGTTTGCCGGCGATTACTCCAGATAACAACGCGCAGCAATTAGATGGCAAAAAGTACATTTGAGGCTTAAACAGGTCGGAATAATTAACTAAATGCGTTTTATGCAAGATGGAAAGATTAGTTTTAATTTGAGCCAAAAGTCCATTAGTGCAACAGACTTGGATGACATTTTGTCAAAACTTTTCCCAATAAAACCAAGGGAAGTAGTAAGGTATCAGATCATCTTACAAGGACCACTGTCAAAGGAAGATGCTGTAGCTAATTAGCATTTTAAATTTTTACATTAACGGAATTCTATCTTACTACAAGTTACAAGGTGCCTTCATTTCGTTCACAGACAAAATATGGAAACTTCAGCTGAAATATTTTTCATACAAGCGTGATCAGAGGAGAGCCTTCTCTTCGACCTTAATTTGCATATCAAAATTCACCAATTTGTACGAAAGAATTCTCAAAATGCAAGCGTTAATCGGGCTAAAAAAGCTTATCAGTGTATAGTTTATACACCAATGAAGTAACTGACTGCCTCAAACCCGCGGGTATATCTGTAGCTTTCATCCACCAACATCTTAAGAATAACGCAAATCCATGTGTTTGCTAAATTGGCTCGTGTTAGTGATAAGTTGCAAAATTCTGAAACTCGACTAAGATCTCCTTTTGACCGTTTAAACCTCATTTGTTTATCTTCTACGTTGAGGATTTTAGGTTTTCTTAACAACTGATTGGTGTGTTGCTTAATGACTCTCCGCAAAGATGGTGAGAGCAATTGATAAATAAATGTACATGTGGAGTTTCACTACTCTACTTGAGAAAAGTAGAAGATTGCTTCACTCCCTGTTTCCCACACCAAAAATATTTGAAGAAAAATAATCATCTTACTTCGGTGATTGATAAAGTCACGAATGTGCTGCTGAATTTATCTGCGGCGCCGTTAGTTTTAAACTTTGTCTCACGATAAGAATCAGAGAGCTCGACCAAATTTCTCAAAATTGGTGGTAAAGAACTCTAAAGCTCTTATTTTATTTGCTTCAAGGAACAGCTGGCTGCGAGTTAGTTGCGTAATTCGAATTTTCTTATGCGAGGAGTATGTGACAATTATGTGAACTGTCCGCGATCCAAGCGAAAGCTTTTGCCAGCTTAAGCATTCACAGATAATTCTAATTAGACTTAGCGAAAGCTTTACCTTAAGCTGAGATTCCGGCGATGAAAACAAGTCAGATCACAGAAGAATAGCTTAACGGCGGTCAAACTTCTTTGCAAGGTTGGAACTGTTGTCTTTTAATTCTACCAGTCTTCACCTGTCACAGTGCAGAGAGTTAAAAATTAGGTTTAAAAAGCGAAAAATGAATTACTAGAGATACCGTAACTAACCTTAGTTCCGCAGGAAAATTTCCCCAAAACGGTATTGAAGTGGCTAATAAATACTTTTTCTCCAAAGTTCAAGATTAACTCATCCAAATTGAGATTCTTCTCAGTGCAAAATGCTTTTTTCCCTTTTAAATACCACAGTTTCTGTTCATTTTCTATAAATTTCAGAGTAGGAAAGGCCTTTCCATGCCTATGCCCATTTTTAAGATAACAGCGGAAGGGCCAGGAGCGTTTGATGTATTTTTAACTTCCTCATAGTGACGTCTGCAAGACACACAATTGCTTGACGAAAGCCTAAACAAATGCAATAAAGACTGAAACACCTGTATGTTTGACTATGATTTCAAGAAAATAATATTTTTTTTATTCTGCCGAATTACCTATAAGTTTGCCGTTTTCGAAATACTTCGTCTTTTTCATTGAAAGATAACCCCAGAAAATTACTCTTTACTTGCGTGAGCTTGATTGCGAATTTTCATCAGCATTTTTATTCATCACATATCTGGCCTATTGTCACGTGTAACTTGTAGCAGGTGGTAAGTTGAAAGGCGAGGTATTAAAAAGAATGAATTGCCTATTATTCGGCATAGCCCTCAAGCTCTTGAGAAAACTATTATTTTGCTAGAAAAACACTGAAGTTGTGAAAATTCAGCTGGTCCGACTGATAAATGCAAACTATCATATAAACTGCGGTGTTTAACAAAGATTTCTAACCGGAAAAAGCGGTAACTTCATATGTGTAACTTGGGATTATGTCTGACTTGACTCAGTCAATAAGCATTTTATCATATGACCATGAATAACTTTTGAATATTTCGAAAAGTTTGTTTTTTACTTAAATAGGACGCGATAGGCTGGCGTGGGTTGTGTCCTCGTGTACCGGTACACAAAGGAACGAAACATTAACGAACTGCGTCACAACTCCATGCGTGGATATGAAAACAATAGGAATTCCCCCGGGACAGCCCCCTGGCGTGGGTGGGGATAACCACAAAAAAAGATTCTCCGATAAAAATTCTTCCTTTCCTTTTTCGAGTCAGAGCAGGAAATTCCGATTCATCGAAGAGCGTGGCTTATTTTCTCATTTCTGCTCGCTACTGTAGTTCAGTTTATGTTTTTTTTCCGCTTGTCTTTCTCTAACACGTGAAGTGAAACAAGTTTTCTTTATCCCTTTCGTAACAGAGCTGTTAAGGAGTGGCATACTTGTGAAAATGTCATGCACTTGTCAAATTACGAATGCTAATGTCGAGACAGGCGTGCGCCGAATACGAGACTTGTGTGTGTAGGTTATATCAGTCGTAGGTTGTCTCGTAATTTTGTGAATATTAAATTTGCTTGCTTGGACACCCAGCCTAAAGATCTTTGTAATCAATCTTCCTTACTAAACGAATTTTGTCAAGGTTTGGGGAGACAAGAACGGTTTTACAATTGTGTCATTAAGAGTCACGGATAAATTTCTGATTTACATAACTTATTATTTATGAGATAAAATTAGTTCAAGATACAATCTCACTCAATAGAAGCAGCAACATACCGTCGTCATAAAAATCATCCCTAGAAGAAAATTTCTGATAAATTTATTCTAAATTTTCTTTGTTATAAAAATGTCCGACGCATCCTCTGTGGACTCAATTTTTTTTTTCTTAATCATGACTGAATTGATTCTAAATTTTCTGACAGCTGACGATCCTCTCGGGACTCACAAAGGTTTTTCTTCGCGTAGCTGTCTAAAATCACCTAACAGCCCAGGTCGACCCATCGTTTCTGCCTGCAGTTGTCCCCCCGGACTTATTTCCAGCTATTTAGATAAAAAAATGGCACCTATCGTCAAAACTTTACCGTCTTACATTAAGGACATCCAACACGCACTTGAAATTTTTGGTGACTTTAGTTTCCTCGGCCAAAGCAAACTTATTTTCACTATGGATATAACATCTCTTTATACTGTCATTCCTAATGACGAAGGTCTCCGGGCCCTCAAACATTTTTTCGATCATCGCACTGTTAAGCCAGCTCTGAAACACTACTCCGTCTTGCCGAACTACTAGTGCTCACACTCAATCGCTTTTCATTCGGTGGCAACTACTACATACAAACTAATGGCGTAGCCATGGGTACTAAAATGGGACCCAGCTACGCCAATCTTTTTGTAGGTTTTATCGAACATCAAATGTAGTCAACACCACGGCCCAAAACCTGAACTCTACGGCCGTTACATTGACGATTGGATCGCTGCTACCTCCTTTACCAAAGAGGAGCTCACTCAATTTATAACCGCCGTCATTTCCTTTCATCCGGCTCTTAAATATACCTGGGAAATTTCCGACACTTCTTTGGCTTTTCTAGACATCAAAATTTCAATCGAAGGCAACGTTTTATGCACTAGTGTTTACTACAAACCTACAGTTTCATATAAACGACGAAGTCTGAGAAACTGTGAAAAAGGTATGGAGTTCTTGCCGTGTGATGGATGTGAAGATGAACACATGAATACAGTTGTATTCATCTTCACATCCATCACAAGTCAAGAACTCCATACCTTTTTCACAGTTTCTCAGACTTCGTCGTTTATGTAGTGACGACTCTGATTTTTCCGAAAAATCAGAGGCAATGTGCCAGTTTTTCGATAAACGTGGCTATCCTGTCTCTGTCGTTCAAGCGGGCCACCACCGTGCCCAACAAATTGATCGACAGTCAGCACTTCAAACGGCTGAGAAGGATAACACTGACCGCATTCCATTTACTCTTACATTTCACCCTCACAACCACGCAGTTAAATCCATCATTCTTTAAAATTTTAAATTACCCCAAAACGATTCAGAGACTGGCACTATCTTTTCGCAACCCCCACTTGTTTCATTCAAACGTGACAAAAACATAGGCAACTTTTTAGTCAGGAGTTCATTTCAAACCAGTGACCAATCTGGAACTTTCAAATGCGCTCGCTCACGATGCAAAACTTGTTCTTTCATTCATAACGTAGATAGAATATCGGGACCCAAGAGATCCATTAAGATCATTGATCACTTTACGTGTACCTCCGCCAATGTTATTCGCTGCATAACTTGCACTTATTGCAATAAGTTATACATCGGCGAAGCAGGAAGACGACTAAGTGACCGATTCCGAGAACACCTTCGCGACGTGGAAAGAAATGACAAGGACGCACCCAAACCACTCGCTATACACTTTAATCTTCCTAATCATTCTGAACAGCATATGGCAGTTTGCGGCCTTTCCTTACATCTAGGCAGTTTGGAAAGCCGTAAAACACTAGAACAAAAATTTATCTTCCAAATCGGCACCCTTAACCCCCACGGAATCAACGAGCGCTTTTCATTCAACTAATTTATTCCTGTTTGCTTGTCACCATATTCCCACCAATGGCGTAGCTCCACTTTCTGTACCCACACACATCCCACAATTTCGACGAGTTTCAATCCTTTGTGGCTCAAGCTCAGTTCCCATCTCATGTTCAGGTGGCATTCTCTCTGTTTTGGTCTCGCCATGAAACTCCGGTGGAGGAGGTCCTGGCTCTGTCAGATTTGGCGCCGGTTTGAGGGTAGACTCGGGCGGAGTTAGTTCTACCAGACTCATAGGTGGTGCTGTTTCCGGGGTCAGGCGCAGTTGCCGACGGTTGCGTCGGTATCGCCTGCCGCAAACTTCAACTTCATAAGACCTGTTCCCCAAGGCTTTCATGCAGGTCCCCAGACTCCATTCCTCCCTTCCGGGAAGCCGCATCCTGATGGCCTGTCCACACTTTAGTGCCTCTAAAGGGCGAAACTTTTTGTTGTATTGTTGAGCTTGTCTTTTCTTGCGCTCAGCTAATTTGGTGGCTGTTTCCTGGTGTGATGGCTGCCGCAGGAGCGTTTCATGGGTTGGTAAGAAAGTGCGTGTGCGGCGTCCCATCAGTCTCTGTACGGGTGATGTTCCTAGACCCTCTGTTGGGGTGTTGCGCCAATCAAGAAGGGCTAACAGCGGGTCTTGCCCATCCGCTTTCGCTTTCGTCATCAAGTTCTTGCAGGTCTTCACGGCATTCTCGGCGCGGCCATTTGACTGGGGGTAACGGGGGCTCGAAGTTCTATGTTCAAACTGCCATTCTCTCACGAATGCACTGAACACCGATGACGTAAACTGAGGTCCGTTGTCGGTAATAAGCACGTCTGGTATCCCATGGCGGGCGAATTGTACTTTACACGCAGCTATCACGCTAGCAGATGTGGCCACCTTAACCTCCTGGACTTCAAAGAACCCACTCCAGTAGTCGACTAGGACAAAGAAATGTTGTTGCCCAAGGTCAAAAAAATCGGCACCTAGCATCGACCAGGGACGCGACGGGATCGGATACGGTTGTAATTCCTCGCGGCACTGATCTGGCTGGTACGACTGGCAGATTGAGCATTTGGAAAGAAAGTCCTTTACTTCCGAATTCATGAGGGGCCAATAGAGGACCTCCCTAGCGCGACGTAAACACCCTTCGATTCCAATATGTGATCGGTGAATTTGCTTCAACATTTCTTTTCTCAGGGAAGGGGGTACCAGCAATCGCTCCCCCAGGAATACTAGTCCCTTGTCTTCTATAAGCTCACTTCGTTTGTCATAGTAAGGCGTCAGCTCAGGGGTACAGGACTTCCTTGACACTGGCCATTCACCCTTGATTGCTCCGATTAGCTTTTGCATCACTGGGTCCCTGGCAATCTCGTTTCTGAATTCAGCGAGCCTGTATGGTGCAATCGAGAGGTTTTCTGAATGATCTATCTCGGCAAGTGTACAGATCAGACTTGTATCGTGCTTGGAGGCTTCGGTGGTGTTGCGGTATGCTCGACTCAGTGCATCTGATACCCACATAAGTTCCCCTTTTTTATACTGCACATCCAGGGAGTAATTCTGAAGGGCCATCAGCATTCTCTGGAGTCTCTTTGGTGAGTTGTGTATTGGCTTGGTAAAAACTGCCCTTAGTGGTTCGTGGTCAGACTCGATGTGTACAACTTCGCGTCCCAGTATGTATTGATTGAACTTGTCGGTTGACCACACTATGGCGAGGAGCTCTTTCTCGATTTGAGCGTAACGCGTTTCGGTGTCGGTCAGAGCTCGCGAGGCAAAGGCAACGGGCTGACCCTTTTGCATCAGTACTGCACCTAGACCCGTTATGCTGGCATCGCATTGGATTGTCACTTCTTCAGTAACATCATAGTATTTCAGTACCGGGGCCTTGGCCAAGTATTCTTTGACTGTGGTAAATGCTTTCTCATGCTGTGCAAGGACAGGAGTGGCAAGAATTTGGCCAGATAATTGACCATCCCCAAAAACCTCTTCAGGCCTTTCACATCAGTCGGCGGTGGCATATCCAAAATAGCTTCAACTTTGGCTGGGTCTGCCTTTAGACCATCAGGAGTCAAGAGGTGGCCCATGAAACGCACTTCGGTTTGAGATCTTTTCAGCTTGAGTTTGTTGAGCTTGAGGTTCCACTCCCGGCATTTCTTGAAGAACGCACGTTCGTTCTTTTCAAGGCTCGAGTTGACCTCTGCGTCAGTTTCGCCAAATCCAGCGATGAGGAAGTCGTCAGCGATAACTTCAACTCCTTCTAAATTTTCTACGAATTCATGCATGCGTCGCTGCCAAACTTCAGGCGCACTTGAGATACCAAAAGGCATGCGGGCCCATCTATAACGCCCAAAAGGCGTATTGAACGTTGTCAGGAAACTAGAAGCATCGTCTAAGAGGATTTGGTGGAAACCATCCTTGGCGTCACAAAGAGTAAATTTCTTGGCACCTGTTAAGCGGGAGGCCACTTCATCGATAGTCGGCAACTGGTAATGCTCTCGCCGAATGGCACGATTTAAATCTCTTGGGTCAATACAGATGCGTACTTTGTTTGGCTTCACTATGGCCAACATGCTGGATACCCACTGCGTCGGTTCTGTTACTGGAATAATAACTTTACGATCAACAAGTTCGTCCAGCTTGTTTTTGATGCATGGACGCAAGGCTACTGGCAGTCGCCTCGGTGCGTGGACAACTGGTTGCGCCTGTTCGTCTATGGCTATTTTGTATGTTCCCGGTAGGGCCCCTAATCCGTCGAATACGTCCTCATACTCTTCGAGCAAGGAGGCTTTGGGACACTTGACGTGTAATGCTAGGACGTCACAATTATTCAAACTCACAAAGCCAAGATTGAGGCTGGTGTTCAATGATAAAATCGGTTGATAGTCTCCGTCTAAGATGTTAAACTCCATTGACCTCCGCTGTCCACGGGACCACACAGGCAGGGTAGCTTTACCAGCAATTTTGCGGCGATCCCCTGTGTACGAGACTATTTCCTTTTGGCATGGTTTGAGGCGATGAAGGAGGGTGTCCCCAGTGATTTGCTTGTATAATTGGGCCGGGAGAATGTCGCACTGCGACCCCATATCTATTTGAAACTGGACTTCTGTCTTGGGATCTGGCCCATAAATGTGGAGTTTGACCACTGCCAATTTTTCCTGGCCTTTGCTCTTACTAGTAGTAGCACCAATGTAGTAGGGGTCGTTTCCCATGTCGACGGCTTCGTGGACCGCCGAAACTCTACTTTTCACTCCTCGGGGATTAGCGCGACATTTATTCGCAAAATGATTCATACTCCCACAGTTAAAACATGTTCTTCCATACGCGGGACAATGACGTCCATGCACCATTCCGCAATTTCCACATTCTTTAGACGGTCTTCTAAATGCTTGTGACTTAAGTTGTCGTTCTTCTTCAGGTTTTTCTGCCGATCCCGCCTTCCGTAACGCATGAACTGCAGTGTCTCCTCCAGCCATTAGCTTTACTTGCTGTTGGGTCTGTTCTGACGACTTAATAATGTCAACTGCTTGTAGGAGAGATAAATCATTCAAACGGAGAAGTCTCTCGCGGACGCGATCATCCCGTATGCCTAGCACGAGGCCACGCAAAATTTCATCTGGTGTGATTGTATCGTGTGCACAGTTTTTTGCGATCGTTCGAAGCTCCGTAAGATACGTCGAGATGTTTTCGCCTGGTTCCTGGTTTCGGTTGTTGAACCTATAGCGTTCATATATGACCTGTGTCCTAGGAATGCAGAATTCGTCGAACTTCTTCAGGACTTGTGAAATGTCGTCTGCGTTTTCGTCTTCGTTCCAAATAAAGGTATCGTGGGCTCTGACGCCATCCTCGCCTATAATGCTTAGTAATGTCGACACACGAACTATGCCCTCTTGTTTATATACACCAGTAGCGATTTCGTAGCGCTGCCACGCTGCTTTCCACGATTTCCATGCGGTGGCTAAATTGTCGTCAAAATTAAGCGCTTTCGGCGGGGGCAAATTTGACGGGGGAATAAAAACTTGAGTCGGCGCTGGTGGCACAACTATGGATGCTTCAGCTGCTTCTGTCATCTTTAGGGGTGAACAGATCCCACTCCTGACACCATGTCACGATTCTGTGAACTCAAAAGGGTTGTTTATTGTGCGAACTCGACTGCCGCCACGTGTGTATTCGTTGTCTCCCTAGTCTTCTAAATATAAAGATGTTCATCGGCCCAGTGGCGTGACCGTGTAACGCAATATCACGACAGAAGGGCTAACCCTCGAAACGTCAGCTTTTTAACCCTTTACGGTGGCTAATTTCCGTTTTCAACTCAGTTGTTAACACTAAATTACCTGCTATACTCATTTGTCTTAAAAATGGACGCCTTAAGACTAATAACACATTTTGAGGCTGGTAAAGTGCAACTTAATCTTTTATTTATGTCAAATTACTTATTATATGTGGAAATTCTCCCTGTAAGTATATTTACCTACTCATAGCCTCACTATCCGATGGATAGGGGCCAAGAGTTTAAAGCCGTTGCCACTCAACGATTAAAAAAGATGCTTGATGTTCTAATATAACACTTGAAATTTTAACTGCTATTAGGAAATCATGAATAGATTAGTGATAATGATTTTTGAGGAGCCGTTTATTCATTCTAATGATTGTGAGTTTATTCAGGAGGGAGCATATTTGGGATGTTTGGGATGTAGGTTTGCGTCAAACTTTTTAATTCGCCTAGTGCGTCATCATTTCATTCCCATGCAACTAATGCCCCATTCACAAAAAAGCTTTAAAATGTTTTAAGGTGCTTTGTTAAACACGATTTAAATTATTTTCTTCATAGAAGCTTCTTAAACCAACATCTGTCGACTTTAAGTTTAGCAGAATGAATTACAAGTCAGCGATAACTTAAATATTATTGAAAGTTCAGTTTTTCAGTTCTCCGTTTCTGAATTTCATCACGCTAAATCCCGTTCAAAAATTTCATCGCATGCGCTATTTATGAGAAAAATTAAAGTTAAACAATGTACAGATCCCTTAGATTGGCCGAATGAACATTTCCTAGCAATATTTTCACACGTCGAATGAAATGGTATTTCCCACGTGACCGAACTCATCTCGTTCCATTCCCACTTGGTGTTGATGCTGTATGTATTTTCAACTAATAAACGATCGTAGCGATATGATCCTTCCACTTTCGAAGCGTTGCTTTAGAAATGAGTTCTGGAGATTATATGTTGGTGCTGCACCAATAAAACGGCAGGTGTATTACCGTAGCGAACACTGAGATGTTGGTTTCAATGAGGTAAAATACTGGAAAGTTCTCGTTTTTAACAGAAAGCCAAACTTATCACGTCAGTGATTAACTTCCCTTCTTGCTTCAGTGTATTTTCCAGTTCTTTGCATGAAGAGAATGTTCTAGAATAATATTAGTCAAGAGCGGTTTCTCAAGGTTTGCTGAGGATAGTTTCGGACATACCATGCAGTCAAGCGAGTGCACATCCCTTTTGCGATGTACTCGAGACATAAAGCCTCGTACTCCTCTCATTGCCATCAAAAAATAAATGAAATATGCTTTCTTAGGTCTTGGGTCTTAACTTCTGTTTTCGCTACAACTGACAGTTCAGTGATGAACATGGATTCTGAATTCGAATTCATAGTTTCGTTTTTCATATAGATTGAGTGTAGAGCTTGTTTAAAGCCATCGAAAGAAGAAAACTATCCTTCACGAACAGCCTCTCAAAGCAAAATAGATCTTAGAGCAAACTCAATTAGCGATTGCGCGCGCATTCCAACGAGGTAACGTCTATTTCGAACTACACTCATGTTTGTGCCCTTAGTGAGGGCGCTTCATGTGTGCATTTTGCGCCCACTGTTGGTGAAAAAAAATTGAAAGGAAGTATCCTGAAAGATTGGATTTCCTTTATACTGATAAGAACATTGAAACATGCGAAAAACGAAACTAAGACCTACTCAAAAACATGATTTAATCTACGTAATAGCTAACGAAGGATATCTAAACCGTTGGCGTGACAAGGATCAACTGAAAATGTAGCTTTTAGGCTCTGATTCTGAGCAAGTCACCAATCACCACCAAATAAATTACTTTGGAATTCACAAGAATCTTTTCTTTTTCGAAATTTTTCGTTCTCAAAACGGTAAGCGAAATCAACCCTTCCGAGCGTTAATACCGGATCGATTGTTTATATTCATTGGGTAACCAAATATTTATCCCATTGCGATAATGTCACCCAGACATATTTGCTTCGTCCCAAAATCAACAGATACTTCCGTAATATTAGGAAAACTTCTGGAATTTGCTCTCATGCTGGACGAAATAAGTACTTGGACTTTATTTCCGACCGGTAAGCTGATTTGGGAGCTGGTCCCAAATATAGCTAACTCATCATAGATTAATAACTTTCCTTTTTTGAACTTTAAATTTCCCCATTTTTTAATTAAAGCAATCAATTCATCCATAAACAAATATTGTTCCAAATAAATGGCAACTTCTGGATCGAGGTAACATTTTTTACTGTTCAAGGCGGCGCAAAACGGCCGTCGAACGTTGAGATAACCTGTAATCAAAATCTGTCATCTCCCACATTTTTTCCAGTAAATGTTAAGAAAAAGGGGTAGATCCTTTTATTTATTTCAAGATATTTCAGGAAATCTTTACGACAGGACTGGAGTCGAAGTCATAAGAACAACTTCGATACGCCATGCTGGCGGGCAAGTATGGGCGGACTTGGTCGGCTTTATCGATTTTTTGCCAAGCGAAAACAACTGTAACTTTTTGATACCCATTTCGTGGTTAGGACCTAAAAATTAGCCTTCATGCCAAATTTCAGCCAAATCAGTAAAGTTAAGTGGACGCGATTTTTGTTAAAAGTTCGAACCTTAGACTATTACTATTGAAAGCTGACGTTTCGGGCGTTAGCCCTTCGTCATTGCGATTGGAGGAATTGTGGGTTGTGTAAGCGTTTTTATGCAGAAAATGGAGCTACGCTATTGGTTGGGAATATGGTGAAGAGAAAACAAGAATAAATCATTACAACATTCAGTCGATCCTGTATTAACCGTATTAAACGGTCACCCTGTATAAAGAGGTGGGTTTTAAAAGATCCGAGTCTTTTTTTTTTCCCCTTATTTAATGTAATTTGACCTGTGTTAAGCGGTATTGGCCATATCCTTTACTGAGTCTCAACGGCCTGTTTGTATATAGTTCTCCACTTGTATCCATGGTCCCTAATTGAAGTGCAACCAGTCAAATAAAACTAAGAATAATCTTTCAGTTGAAATTTAGTCCATGTGTATCTCCCGAAGGCAATGTTAGTAGAATTTTTGAGCGAGTTCTTGTAAATTAAGTAGTCAATTATGGCGAAACATGGCGTTTTTAATACTCCTATTCCGTGGAACCCGTATTAAACGGTCACCCTGTATAAAGAGGTCGGTTTTAAAAGATCCGAATCTTTTATTTTCCCTTACTTACGGTAATTTCACCTGTATTAAGCGGTAATGGTCATATCCTTTACTGAGTCTTAACGGCCTGTTTGTATATAGTTCTCCACCCGTAACCAGTCAAATAAAAGTAAGAAAAGTCTTTCAGGTGAAATTTAGTCCATGTGTTTCTCCCTTTAACCCACACTTTGACCTCATGTTTTAAAATACCGTAATGCCTTGCGGGACACCGAGGGTTCAAGCCCCAGACCGGAACAACACTTTCAAAATAACTGACGAAAATATGCTACCTTTGCTGTGACATTCGCAAACGATAGACATTCGAGTCTTCTCGGATAATGGCGATAAACCGTCGGCATCGTCTTCATTTTTTCTGCACTGGCTTGCAAGGGACGTTAAATAACTGATAATCCACCTTCTTTTTCGCAAATAGTTGGGAACATAGTCTCTGATGATGCGACTTGGCCTTGTTATTGTTTATACAGACATCCATTTAAACCAGTTGAACCGGGCCACCCCGTATAAATATCGAAAATAGATAATCAAATAACTAAAAATAAATAAATCAGATTTTGAGCGCGAGGTTTCTAACGTGCTGTTAGAAATCCATATTACGGAATAGATTAGCGCAACCAATCAAATTGCAGCGTTTGTGATAGAACGCGAATATCTTATTAAGGCTACCTTCCTAGTATGTAATTGGTATTATCCTAAAATGCTTTATAGGGACCCGTTTAAAAAACAGTTTACGAAACTGACAACGGATAAGTAACATCTCTTTAAACTGAAACAGTCACTGATACCAAACTACGGTGAAATTGTTAAGGCACGCATCGTTAAAAAATGACTAAGATTCACTATTTAATGCTGAAGAGTTGCAACATTCCGTCATGGGTGTACAAGCGCAATAAACAATTATTCGATTAAATAAGTTTCTCTTTTTCTTTTTCGTTTCGTTTTATTTTTGTTTTGTTTCTAAATGAAAATGCACCGCAAACATTATTTTTTATCTATAAAGGCAGCTTAGATCGAAGAATCGCATTTAATATCATTATTGATTAGTTATAAATCTTTACTTAATAATTTACACCTTTGTGAAAAAAAAATTACATATTCGCCGTTTGCACCTTCTGCTTGAAAAGTGTAACGTGCCATATACTAGTCCTAACGTTCTGATATGATTCACTTTTCGCTGTACAGCAAGTTTGATTTTTTGCCCACGAGGCAGGTATCATTGGCTAGATAAAATATCATTTTATCATTGGCTAGATAAAAGTCGTTACCTTTGAAATCCATTTGTACACCAGTCCCACACACAGCCCTTGAAGATGCCTCAAAGCTCCAAACGACAGAAACTTAACAGCAGCGAAAGGTCTTCAGGAGAGCATTCTTAAATTCTGGAATTCTGAACGCATAAATTATTGCGTTTACGAGAGAATTGCTAAATTGTAAAAACTTGATTATAAATCTTGTCATGAACCAAACGTTATGGGAAATAACTATGTGGACGTCCAATTCAAACAAGAAATTTACAATTTGAAATGGAAGCCAAGTAAAAAGAGAAGCTCCTGTTATCAACAATAATGTTTTTGCTAACTTGACTTCTATATTTATATGATTA